TGTATGCAATAATTAATTTCTAAATTGATGACTCATCGTTACTATTTCAGTATGACATTTCATATTTTCGATGAATCAATAGATGATAACGATAATATCTATTAGAAAAATATTTCATAAATTATATTTATGATGCAAACTTTTAACTTAATAATAAAACTATAAAAATATCAATTCATGTGAAATTAACTTTCACTTGATAAAACAAGATTTTAAATTATTACACAAATTATTGCCATTTTTTACTTTTCAATTTCTTGATGATTCCTTATCATTAACCATATATTTAACATTTGTACGAAAAATATTTAAGAACAAATATTTCAAAGAAACAACGTTTCACGCATGGTGAATCAACATTTTTATACATGCAATGAACAGGAATCGTACTCTTCAATTACAGACACGTGTGTCGTTCGAACGCGAAACATTCCTTGCCAACTAATCTAATTATATGACCACTGAATTAAAGTAACCCACGACAAATCACGTAGGAGTTTAATTAAATTTTATCAACCATATTCACGACAATATGACGAAGAATATCCATTGTTATTTTTCCTAGAGGGCGCTCGAAAGAATCTCTCGGTTCGAGGGAAGACAAATCAAAAGGAAATCTAATATCGTCGAAATTGCACTAGTTGTCCATGGCAGTTGTTATAGATATGTCTTGCGTAACACTTTATTATAGATGGTAAGTAAAAGAAACTTAACTTTATAATTTAGATATAATTTTATATAATTTTAAACTTGAAAAATTTTTTTTTCGTATCTAGCGAAAACTTAAAGACAAAAGCTAACCTCATTGCGAATCGTGTTACGAATAAATATAAAGTTACAAATAATATGATTATATCATTCATAACATACAGGTAAGAATATTTCATTAGTAAAAAAATTTCAAAAACTTCGATTTTTGTTTTATACTCTTCACAAAACATATTTTGTTGTAACCAAAAATTTGAAAGCGTATCGCTTGATGTTCGATCGACAACTTATTCTCGATTTAATTCTTAAAACGAGAATTAAATCGCTTAACTTTATTTTATTTTTTATCGATTTATCCTTTTATAAAATAAAAATACTTGCTTTTATAAAAATATTTCTTTAAATTCTTTAAATTCTTTTAATTTTCGAATCATAAACTGAATCACTTTTGATTATCTAAATTATATACGCTAAATATCACTTACATCATCGAATTATGAGTCAAAAGTAATCTATATTGGCTACGAATGAAAATTTAAAAGTTAATACATATTTTAATATATGATATATGATTAAAACATGAATGACACATTTTTCATCATTTAGTTGATTTGAATAATTGGCACCGAATCTTCAAGTTGGAAATATGCAGTTCGATAAAATGGTCCACGCAAAGATATTACGTTACGCCCACGCAATAAACGGCGTTAACACGAGAATGTTAAGAGTTAATGGACCAACTTCCCGGACACGACGAGTTTCAACGGCCGTAGCGAATCATCTGGCAATGACATTGACAAAACTGTCATTTCTCATCGATCAAAGAAATACCTGTATTTTTATTTAAATAGTCAAATTATTGTTAAATGTTTAATCTCAAAGATATTAAACTATAGATATATTATGTTTGCATAAAACATATAAAATATGTTTAATATTAAAATTGATATTATTAAAATTTGATCAATTATTAAATTGATGATATTAAAATTTATTTAAATATTTTAACAAATATATTTATTTAAATATTTTAATACAGTAATAAGAATTTTTATATTTTGAATATATAAATATACATATATATGATGCATTTGAGTTCTATATTATATAAAAAATAGGAATGAAGTTTTATTATATACTAATTAATAGAATTAGAAAAGAATTTTCCTATTTATGCACTCATTGTATCATCTAGCTAATGTTAAAATCTATATAATAATAATTTCTTTTTAATTTTATATATTTATGATGTATAATATGTATAAAACAATATATATACAATTAAAAAAATATAGGTTAATTATATATGATCAGAGCAATTGTAATGAAGTTCGAATGATTCAAATTTAAACGAGAGAACATGTTATGATTCTCGATCAGTTGTGTAAACTGTGTAACTAGTGTTAGTATTTTGTAATAGAACAGAGGAAGCATACATATAAATTACAGTATTTATAGCAATATGTAAGTATCCAATACCACTATTGTAATGCTAATGCGCTACTCTCGTTAGCTTAACTTCTATTTCGTAATTTCAGTTGCATAAGATACATTCATTTTTTGTTTCTCCCAAATGTTTCTTTTTTTCTCCAGCAATAAGGAACGAAAGTATTAATTAATTTAAACAAAATGATTATGATTGTCTAAACAATCTAACGGTTATTAATGCAAGATACAAAATTTTATTATGTAAATACAAATTAAGGCAAGTATTCAATTTATTTACATCAAAGTTTGATTAATATAACTGATTAAAATGATCATTATTTACTTTCCAATAATCAAATACTTTCCGTCAAGTTGAATTAAATTATTATTGTGCCATCAATATGAATTTCTAAGATGCATTGTTTATCATATACAATTACAGGAAATGAACAAGTTGGCCTATTTCGTATCGACAGATCGTTATAAAGAGAAGGATTTGAAAAGAATCTATAATGACAGTTTGAATCGAATTCGATGTGACGTAAAACGTGGAATTTATGGTGAAACACGTCACGATAGATTAAGTTTTAATTCATGAATATTGTTAATTAATAAGAACATTAATATGCAGAATGGCTACGCTGGAGACAATGAAAATGATTCGCAAGTGAATATGTTAAACATTGTAACATATCCATTCGTAAAAAAACACAAATGAAATTATAATTCTGTGATCCATCATATCTGTGATTATCATCTGACAATAGATTTTTAAATAATTCATGTCGAATAAAAATATATATTTCAAATATTCGATATTCGAAAAAAATAAATTATAAAAAATAAATCACAATTAATTAATTTTCTATTCTGTCTAATAAAATATTTTATTTAGCATTTTTTATTTTTTTATATTTTTCTAAATATATTAAAATCATGTGTCTACTCTATGTATCTTGTAATTTTTTTTTAACAATAAGTTGTGATATATCATCGTATTATTTTGTTAATATTATTTATTACATTTATATACATATTATATACATATATATATTTATTACATTTATAATATTATATGTATAATATTAGGATGAGTTTCAAAATTATTTTATTTTACTTTTTCAGAAATTATTTTTCTTTTCTATCATCTGATACGTGCGTTTTATTGCAAGTATAAATATAAATTATTTTTCTTATCTGATAAAAATCCTCGAGATATCATGTACAAACTAGATAAAAATCTTTTCCTACTTGTCGCTATTGCGAAAGAATGCCAAGAATAATGTTTTATTAAAAAGACAACACTAAAAATAATTTATTTATTAAATATAATATATTAATAATTTATTAAATATAATATATTAATGATAAAAATATCGTAAGTTAGGATGTATACTTTAGATTATCATCATAAAGATACATTATAAAATCGATATAATATTTATTTTTATATATTTATAACATAATATTTACATTTTTTATATTAAAGATTAAAATTAATTGTAGTTTTAAAAGAAAATAAAAAATAATGAATGTTTACCATTCTATAATTCGTGTACTATGAGTATAGGCAAGAAGAGTAAAATAGTAGAAGAAAAACAAAGATAGCATAAAATTTGTGGAATCAACACCATCTTCACCATGCCATAAATGAAACTCAAAATACAAGGAATTCAAAATATAGAAAATAATAGAAAAAGGATAAAGATAAGATAGAAATTAACCGTCAGTGCCATCTTTTGAATTCTGACGGCATCTCTTTAAGACAAATTAAAGTAAAAGAAGAATTGATTGTTAGTATCATCTCTTGATATCGGCTTATAAGGTATTTTTTTCTAAAAGTACTTGAGAGATGACGCTAGCGATGAATTCTATTTTATCCTTAAAGAGATGCTATTAATGTTTAAGAGATGGCGTTGATGATCAATGCTGTTTTATCTCTATATTTCTATTATTTTCTGTTCTTATGTATTGAGTTTTATTTGCGGCACTCTAAAGATGGCATTGATATCAATTTTTATCCTATCTCCGTCTTTCTCTTATTATTTGTTCTCCTTATTTATATTTATTATTGAAATGCATTTAAGAGATGGCGCTATTGTCACAATTCCATATCTTTCATGCGTGTATATATATATGGTATATATATATACACATATATTATATGATTTTTATATATCGTGCATTCTGTTTCATCTTTCATTTCATTTTTCAAATAAAATAAATTGAAATATATTTTAATTAATAATTTTGATATTAAATAATATCATTATGAAAATTATACATATCTATGAGTAAGATTTAAAAAACAAATAACAAAACATTATTAGTTTATAATTTATTACTTTATAAAATTGATTATATTTATTTTTTAATTAATTATATAAAATATAAAATAAATAATGTTTATAACATTTTTATAATCATATTTATTATTGTAGTATATTTCTATATATTTTTTATTTTTAAGTTCTTTTAAAGCAAATTCATTTACTTAAAATATTTTTACACTCATATCAAATGATTTTTATAAAAATATAAAAGAAATTTTTATATATAATTATGAAGTATATATATAACATTTTATTAACATTTTTTTTAATTTTTAAATGAAATAAAAAAGAATTATTGCAGTTCTTAATTATCTCTAAATATCATTCTATTACTATTTATAAAATTATTTTCAAACTATCAAAAAATTAAAATATCTTTAGAAAAGTTTCAAGTTTAGCTTCACTAGATGGCACAATCACCTGTTACCTGAATTTTTACCTGTATAACTCTAAGCATAAGGAATCAACCAATCACTGGGTCGATTCTGGGGCCTCACTAAACCCCCACTCTAAGTTACCGCCTGGCTTGAGTGCAACAGGCTACGAAGTTCAGAAATTCGTTCGTCGTAAGCACGAAAACGATTTCAGCGTTTTAACGCTGCTTTTCATCACATCTACGTTATATTATTGCATACATATGGTCGCGTAGTGATTTTCGTGAAGTGCCATCAACAAAAACAAAAAGAGGTAAGCGATTTTTTTAAATTCGTTTAATATTTTTCTTACTATAAAGTGAATTGAACAACTGGTTCTTCATCGAAACGATATCGAATCCGCTATTCGACTCCAGTGGTACGCCAACTAAGGACATTCCGTGGAATCGCCCTGCTTTAAGAAATCGTGTGGGTGTATTTCTATTAGCTGTAGTTTGTTTCTTGAATACTCTTTTTATACATACAATCATTCTAGTTATTTTACATTTAACACTACATAATTTTTCATGCATTTATTGCTGCCATGTTTGAAGAACAAATTTATATCGTGTTATCTATCATATTCTTCCTAGATTGTTTTTTTACCATTTTTTTTTAATTTAATTTCAATATCGTTTTAAATAATATATTCGATAGTCCCAGTTTCACTTCTTATTTATATTTAAAGTATAATTTCGATATTGTATCATGAATAATGTAATCAATAATTTAAAAAAAAAACAAATTTGGTATAAAATAGATATAAATTCTTTTAATTATAATTTCTATTATGTCAACTATATAAGATTCTAATTATTTTTATAAATTAATATTTATTAAAATAAAATATCAAGCACTTAATGTCAAATATCATGTTAAATTTTACCTTAAGGTTAAGAGTTACGAACAGGTTTTAAATAACTTCGCAAAATTTTAATGATTAGTGCAGTATATTAAAGATAAAAGTTAAAAAAAAACATAATGAAATTTTATAATTAACTATACGAACTAATATGCATAAAAATATAATTATTGGTTATTGTTTTCATCAATAATTCCAAAATGAATTTAAAAACATCGCACATTTACTTTTACATTTCCGTGTTCATATCTAAAAATAATTATTTAACAAAGTTATAAATATATAACTCATATTTTTAAGAAAACAATATCTATATATTTTTAAATAGCTAAAAAAATTTTAACTATAACTTTAGCTTAAAAATATTGTTTTTTTACGTTAATGTCAATTTTACTTTTTCGTATGATTAATATTAATTAAGCATGTATACTCAAAATGTAAATATATACTTAAGAAACATTTAAATAAGAATAATTTAGTAATGCTTCAACAATTCGCTACTGTTCATTTACTTTCAATCAATTTAAACACAAAATAATGGCATTAATTGGAACAACAAAAGAATTAATTTTATATTTACACAAAAAATTAAATTTATATAATGTACCTATGATATGCTATTTGATTATTGTTGCATACCTTACATGCGTATCAGTAGTCATAGATTAGCTTGTATTTTTTTGTTCTCATTGGCGCCAACATTGAAACGATGAAAGCGATAAGAAACAAAAGACGCAAGGTAGCTTATTTACAAAAAATTTGATTGTGAATTATTCTGGAAGTTTTTATTATAAATGAATTTTTTTTTTTAAATCTTAAGAAATCTATTATATATTGATCATATATAAAATATAGTTATCACAAATAGAATATATATTTAGTATATACTAAATTATATATTTATTTCAATGAGAATATTTTTGCAAAATTTTATTTGAAATAAAGATAATAATAGAAAAATTCTAAATACAGATACTTCTAAAAATAAATATCTATTCAAACTACACAGTATTAATGATTTTGCATTTTTATTTTGTATTTCTTAATTTAGTAATATATTTTATCTTAAATATTGATTAACAACAATGAAAAATAAGAATTAGTTTACAATAAGATTTATATTATAAATTATTATAATACAAATTGCTCATAGAAATATATCAAGTATTTGTTAAATATTAAAGTATTCGATATATTTTTCTATAAAAACAAAACAACTTAGGTATCATTTGCATTATTTAAATGTTACTTTTCAGAAAATATACATAGTCGTAGTAAATTAGTATTAATATAAGCAATATTTTTTACGTAAGCAATGTATAGATTCTGTCGTCATAGAGTAATTACACATATAATATATATGCTGTGTACGGTATGTAAGAATTCAAAAAATGTTTATTATGGTAATTTGTCTATTATGGTATTATGGTAAAACTAAGAAAATATTTATCACGCGTTTTCTTCTTTACGATATTTATGGCAAAATTATAATTTGATTATATAGTTATATAATTTAGCTAGATAAAAAATTTACGAAATTTGAAAAGTTTAAAAAGTTCTATAAAATTATGAATATTTGAATATTTAAAAGATAAATTGTGTTGTTTATTTAAATCTTTTCAGCATATAAGAAATGTAAAATAATAATATTCGTAAATATTATGTTGTTTAAATAGTGCAAGCGATATCATATTATATTTATTTTACAAAAAATAAAAGTATAGAATTTTATTTTTTAATTTAAATTTATTTATCTAATCTTTTCAATTAGATCTAATTACAATTAGTTCTTTTGCTTTCCTGCATCAAAAACAATGATGTCTATAAAGGAATGCATGCATGTTGTCTAATAATATTTCGCATCCATCCATACGGTTCAATTGTGTAATATCAAGGTCAGTGCCCATTTGAATAATCTATTTTTATCCAAGAGAAACTGTGAAACTTGATTTAAACTTCATCGGTATTAGTGATTGTGAAAGAGTACATACATAAATGATGGTCAAGGTAGAAACGTCATTCTATAATTACTTACAACATACAAACAACATACAATAATTATCTAAAGTTATTAAGATAAAAAAAATACAAAGTACAATAAATAAACTGCTAATATTTCTATCTAAAACATTATTTCTATGTACAGTTGTTTATTGTGTATTTTTTTAAAAAGTTAAAAACAAAATATTAGAAATGTTCTTTGGAATAAATATTTCTTGTAAATATATAAATGCAAAACTGATTCTTATAAAATACTATCATTAAGAAGAATATCAATTATTTAATTTATTTTAAAATATCACATACATTTAAAAAAAAAATATCATATATATTATTTCCTTTTTCCTTTTAAAATATGATTTTTAAGTTACAAATTTGTAAATTATTTTAATATTTTTAATTTTTATAAATATACTTGCATATAATATACACGTTAAAAATATTTTATATATACATAATTTTATTATAATTATTTTTATAAATATTTAAAATAATAGAAATATTAATATTTATAATAATTTTTAGAATAATTATTTGAAAAAAATAACTAATTCTTATATCATATTCTATAATACTATATCATTTTCTATAATACTATAAAAAAATACTTATATTTTAAAATGATTAATATTTACATAATATATTCTTCGAAACAAATTTTATGAAATAAGAATAAGAACATTTATTTTATTTGTATATCTATAAATTACATAATAACTCGATTATTTAAACAGATTATTAATAGTGGCATTATATCATAGTATCGATAATTTATATATTTTACATCATAGGACATTCACACGAAATTGTATTTATTTCATTCATAAAAAAATACAATAATTATTTAAAATGAAAAATTGTACACGATTTGAAATACAATTTCTAAATGCGACTGGCATACTTTTATGAATTGAATTCAGTTAAAAATCTGGCTATTATACGTTACCATAATTTCATCCTCCTCTTGATACATTGAATCAAGATCAGAAACGATCGTACCCGGCTCCTGAATGAATAAATACCGAGTGGAAGAGCCGGTTCGCCAGATGCCTCGATTATCTTCTTTTTTCCCCCTCTATTTGCTTTTTCTCTTAGCTATAAACATGATACTCCTGAATCGTAAAAAATAAGATTTTTCATATATACGTGAAATATTTTGAAATTGGTGATAAATAATTCAAAATTTGAAATAGAATAGAAAAATAACATTGGTAGCCATTCGAAATGAACGGATGTCATCTGGAAAATGTGGACCCTAAGTATGATGAAATCTTAGCTTATAGTATATACATAGATACATAGATACAGTTCTGATATAATAGATTTCCTGTGATGCAGTCAACGATTAACGTATTTTTTAAATATTATATAAATATTTCTTAAATAGTTATATATATAAAATAGCATTCATCTCAGCAGTTTTAATTTACTTCTTCAAAATCAGCTTTATGTTTATGCTTGCAATGGGCAGATTTATAACGCATGCGCGTGAAAAAGAAAACCTAACCAAACAATGCATACGTATGTATAATATATCGATGTGAGTTGTCATTGATATATGCGCGTTAAACTGCGTTTTCATTGAAACGTTAAACTTTTTGATTGATGTTATATGTTCTTGGAAAAAATCGAATATTTCTTCATGTTTCTATTGATATAAAAGTTATATTTGATTCTGATTTTATAAGAATAATATGCAAGTATTTTTTTGCTAAGAATAAAAATTCAAATGTTTTTTTAATTATAATTTACTATAAACTATAATATACTAAAAACTATAATAACTTTATTATAGATAAAATATCTTTAAAATTTTATTAAATGTTCAAAACTATGTCATGTATTTTTAAATACTTTAAAGCTTTTTATAGATATTGATAAGAATGAGTATTTTTTGTATTTAATATTGTCTCTGTAGCATGTATAATTATGATTGAAGAAATCAGATCAAGCAAATAATAAATCAATAATATCAATTAAAAAAATTAAAAAATATAAATTTATCACTATATCATTTCAAATACTTAATAGAATGACCTAGAAGACGTATAATTATATTTATTTCTTCGTAATCTCTTGCATTATTAAAAATTTGATTAAATTGAATTTATTTATAAAATTAAGTAAAAAAAAATTATTAAAAATTAATAGAAAAGATTCTCCATGAGAATTTTTATCGGAGATAAATAAATATAACTATAAAAAAAAATATAAAATATTAATTATGATTATAAAGAAATAACTTTTAAAAAAATTAAAAGTGCAATGAAGTCATTATATCGCAGCGCAATTTTCTTTAAAGAATAATTTATCAGTTCAAAAGAAAATTATAAGAGTTTATCAGAAGTCAAAATTTCTAAGAAATCATTTTAAAATATTATCTTCGTAATATAAAATTTATATTCGAATTGTAATATATATATTTATTTTTTCAAATAGTTTATTTTTCCATTGGTTGAAACTTAATTTACAACGTAAATTTGTAACTCTATACCATATTATACATGAGTTTATTTTATTCCATTTGTTTGTCGGTTACATATAATCGATAAATATTTAAATATAAAATATAAAATGATTAAATGTTTATTTTAAATCAAATATTATAAAAACAAAAAAATTTTAATTTTATTTTTCGTTTTATTTTTTAATATATGACAAAAAAATAGTGTAAACAAAACGTATAATAAATTTTATAATATTGGATAATAAATTGTTCTAAATAATATATATGATCATCTGACATTTAGATGTATTTAACAAATTCTGAAATGGATATAGGAAAATGCATTACCTGTTTAGATGTGCAAATTATTATCTCAAACGTAAGATACAAAGGCGTAAAAAAAGGCAATGGCGTAGTCTCAGACAAAACAAATATATTATCAGTATATAAGATAAAGATAAAGGCTATGATAAGACGATAAAAAATGTATATTCTGTGATAAACTGGTAACAGCGTACTGATAGAAAAGTTTAATGAAATCTAAATGCTATTATATTCTCCTGAAATGAAAAAAGAAATGAACAAATGATGGATTATACACTGATTAAAATAAAAGAGAGATATATACTAAAGATATGCATTATATTATATTCATTTGTGAAATAGAATGAAATTTATTTTCATTCATTTTATTTTATTTCAAGGAAAATATAATTTAATATGATTGTTTTTTTCTAAGTATAAATATAGGAAACATAAAGATTAACTTCGTTTCTTTTTTCTATTTTTTTTAATAGAATTATCTTTATTTTCTAAAAGATAATAATTAATAAAGAATCAAAGATACACAATATTATTTTCAAATTGAATTTAAACTCTTCTTCCTTTAGTCACACAAATAGTCAATTGACAAGTCGATCATATAATATGCATGTATTGCACACCCTTCTATTAATTCCGGATACAATAATGATACATTACATAAATGATATTTGCACAGTGAAACGAGAACAGTATGATTAATTGAATTAGAGGAAATTGAAGATGCACTTAACAATTGATTTCAAACAAATTTGACAATGAAAAACAATTTTTTTATCTATAAAAAAAAGTAATATAAATTAATTATTTCACTTCTTAATTGTTTGGAAAATATATCTTAATCGAAATATCTAAGGAACGATAACGACGATTAAAATTGTTTTGATGTACGTGACGATTAATTAATAAATATACTGATATTTTATTGAAATATAAATGAAGTGAAGTACCTACTTGCGAAATTTATTTTTTACTTTTTTACTGTCACCGATACCAGATTGTGATCATTATGTTATAATAATGATATCTAATAATGTTTCTCTGTAGAGAGTGTGTCATTCGAGCCGGTTGATTTCACAAGAAATCACTTTACAGTCATACGACGAATTGGTATTGCACAGATTCGATCGAATCGATATGTAATTCTGACTAGGAGAACGCGTCGATAGAACGCCTCTTATAATCATCTTATAATAAATATCTAATTACATTGGAATGTTTTCCAAGAAATATGTTTCACAATAATTTTTCCGTTTCATATGAAATCCTTTTTCTTTTTTCTATTTTCACTTTTCATGAAATGAAAAAATTTTCAAATAGCGATTAATTTTTCTTGATATTTTTATAGCTACATTAAAAAATTTCCTTTAGATTAAAGATTATTTTATTAATTAAAGATATAATGATTAATTAAGTAAAAAGATATCTTATTGGCAATACTATATATCTAGTATAACAATAACAATTATTATTAAATCATTATTATTAATCATTAGAAATTGCTTTGAAATATTGGTAAAAAAAAAACAAAGAAATAATTATATAATTATATATGCGTAGATCAAATTATAAATGATGATGACCCGATTGCTTATTAGATTACATCATTATTTTATCGAATTATATTTGTATTGACCTTTCGAGCTCATTTTTGGCCCAATTGTGATTTAATTAATTTCTTAAGTTTAAAAATAATGAAAAAATTGTTATTAATAATAAAAAGTAATAAAGAACAACAAAAATAAATCCGAGAATAAAATTTATTCGTTATTCATCATCGATTCTATGAAATTGTATTAAAAATAATTTTATGATATTTTTTGTAAATATTTTTTATAACAATTATTTCAATTTCAAATTTGCTTCACAATTCAAGATCACAACACGAAAGTATGTTTACATGTGTGCGCATTCATCTATGAAATGTTTTCTATATTTATCTACCTTTATGTCAGTCTGTTTGAATCCATCTCTAGACGATGTCTACGTAGGTGGGCCTGGAATGTTGACTCGAAAATGCCAATCTCGAGATTTACTCGCTCTCTTCGGAATAGGGTAGCTATAGTCTCTATTTTGTACGCGTTTGTCACGTCGAAATTGAAACGGAAAAGCAAAAGAGACCACCACCTGCGTTATGCTCGAAGACAGGTAACTTTACCTGTTTCCAACCGGCCAGATTTTTTGAGAGTCGAACAAAGAACTCAACTGATACTTTCATGCACCCTACGACCTAAGCCTGTCTTCCACATCTTAAAGCGGCACGTTCGCATAGCTGACCGTTTCGAAGTCCACTTTTTTTAAATTACATTACGTCTTGACTTTTAAAATACCATTCATTTCAGTTGGCGAGGTCTTGTTATTTGTTGTCTGTTAGATACGCATTTTTAACATGCCTGTTAATAGATTGAAAAAATTTTTTCTTGTTTAATTATTAGGAATGCAGTTTTCATATAGATATAAGAAAAATTTATTTCGTAAATTAAATTATTGATTATGCAAAAATAATAAAAATATATTATAGATTCGTTCTATGAATTTATTTACATTAATAAATTTTGATAGTATTAATACTATTGGAATATACTGTGTAGAATATTGTTAGAAAACTTTGATAGCAAAATTATAAGAACGTATGAAGAATTAAGGATATATATATATATATATATTTGTGATCTAAATAAATTATATTCAATTGGCTTAATTTTGCAATTTAACTCAATTGCAATTATAACTATTTGAAAATCTATATAAACTTTGTTTAAATTATAATAATAAATTAGTAATATGCCACGTAATTGATAAAATAAAAAATGAATACAGTAGTTGAACATTGAACACAATAATCAGACATTACTGACAATGAGACACGTTTCGAGATAATACCCATATCGATTCAATGTCACTTTATATTGCATCTATGCTGTTAAAATCATTATTTAAGTTTCATTATATATATTTAAAATTTAATATTATCTCGATAAATAAAAAATTTAAGTGAAAATGAAATTTTTTTCAATTTGTATCATTTTTATATTAATTTTAATCTAATAGAAAGAACAATTGTAAACGTGCAAATTTTTTATTAAATTGATCTTTAAAAATATCTAATCATTTCTATTTTATAATAATTAGATAATTAATTTTTAATAATAATAATAATAAAAAAATATTTCTTGTATTCTATTATTAATCTTGTGAATTAACAATATGTGCATTTTATTGTACATATTGTTAAATTCTATAATATTATTAGAAATTAAATAAAATTACTAGAATATTATTTATTCATTTGATAAAAATATTAATTATTTTTGTTTTACAATGAAATTTATTATTAATTTTAATTTTCCGTAATACGCATTATTCTTAAAAATTTCAAATTAAATTTGATAAAAAAATAATCGAATATCTCATTTCAAGTACAAAATTCAATTATTAAAAAAGATAACAAGAAATATGATAGATAAATATGATAGATTCTTATAAAATCTTATAATTCTTCTAAATTATATGTATTCTTATTCATAAATAAATTACAATTTTTTTATTCTTTAAAAAGTTTGAATGTAGTAGTAAGATAAGAATAATCAATATCTTGTATTTTAATCATTAAAATTTTTATATGATCATTTTAATGCAAAATTGATTAATATTGATAATTGATTATTTTATAACAATTATTTTATAATAATATTTTTTTCGAATATTAATTTTAAAAATTTTTTAGATTTAAAAAATCATTGAATTAAACATTATAAATTAAATCACTGAAAAATTTTTATATATATATAAAATTTATTATATATTATATGTATATATTTAAAATTGTTATTTACAGGATACAAAATGAAACTGCTAGCAGTTTTTCTGCTAACAGTATTGTTATCTGGATTGATTTCATTAAATGAAGCTAACATTGATGCCACACATGTACCATTAATTAAATCGAATCATTTAAATGATTCTCTGGAATTGAAAGAATCTCTAATCAAAACAAAAGCTATATCAGAGAAAGAATCTTATTCTACTGATGCATCAGTAAACCAAGGAACAGAAACTGTCGATGATAAAGATGCATTAAAATTGAAGAAGGATGATTTTCAATTTATGAAAAATTTTCTTAATCCCAAAGATATGCTTATGCAAGAAATTCATACATTAAATGAAGAATCTAAGGTAATTTGTATATTTTTATATTGATTTAATATAATTATGTATTTAATATTACAATATTATTGAAATTTTAGTTCAATTCAATTTAGCATAAATAAATTATTAAATTAATCGATGAATTAATTTAAAATAAATTAATTTGTTTTTTTATATAATATAATTTAATATAAAGATAATTGAAATAATTGAATTATGAAAATTCTTAAGTATTCAAATAAAATTATGAAAATAATTATAGAATCAGAATAAAATTGCACAGCCTCTTAAAGCAGAAGTTAAAAAGATTAGAGTCTCAAATGCTTCAACAAAGAACAACTCGGATAACAGTGATATAACATTACTCGAAAATGAAAATGTATCCTATGAAGATGATTTGAGTGAAGATGAAGAAGACGAAAGCGAAGACGAATATGAAGATGAAGATCGTGATGAAAATGATGATGAACCCGAGGATGATGAACAAGTAATGACACAATGTCCTGATTATTGCAAATGTGCTGGAGAATATGCTGCTGTAACAACCGCAACGTACGTCTTTAATTATAACATGATATAATTTAATTATTTTCTTTATAGTAATTAAAGATAAAAACAATATTTATATATAATAATAATTATTATTAACAATAATAATTATAAATAATAAAATTATTAATAAAATTATATCATATCATAGATGCCATTTTTATACATATAACGAATTTGAATATTTTATAAAATTTATAAAAAATATATTTATTAACAATTTTTTCTATAAATATTTTTTTCTTTTATTTTCAGATGCACCAAACTTGTAGAACAACAATCTTTTAGCACTGGTATTGTCCATTTGCGCATTGAAAATGCTGGACAAATTCGTCTTGACTCTCATGCATTTCAATCACGAGGCTTTCAACATTTAGAATCTATTACGATTACTGATACGAGAATAGTCGAACTGAATCAAACTGCATTTGATGGCATACCATATTTATTTTCTGTAAATTTAACGCGCAATGATCTTCAAGATATTCATCCAAATACTTTTATAAATAATAAGCAACTATCATTACTTGCCATTTCTGGAAATCCATTAAAACATACACAGGACTTGAAATTACCAAAACATAGTTTGTTTGATGCTCCATCCGTTACAGAATTTGATTTTTCTTTTAATGGTTTGACGAAATTGAAACGTACAGCATTTGCAAAGATGAAAAGTTTGACTTATATTAATTTAAAAGGCAACAAGTTGAAAGAAATTGATAGCGCAACTTTCAATATGTTGGAATCACTTGTAGAAGTAGATCTTTCGAATAATTTATTAAATGAAATTCCCGTTGATCTCTTTGATAATAATGAAATTCAAACGCTTCGTATTACTAGTAATATTAATTAAATACAAATTTTAATATATAATGCAATATAAAAATTTTTATTAAAAAATTAAATTGTATTTAATTTTTAGGAAATAATTTCGCAAGTTTAAATACTATACAAGCATCAAAACTGAGATTATTAGATGCATCTAATAATAAAGTCAAAACAATAGCAAAAGATGATTTTGCTGGAGTGCCCTTATTAGATCAGTTGATAATTACTTCTAATGGACTCAAAAGGATTCATCAACATGCTTTTGTTAATCTTGATCAACTTAATTATCTCGACATTAGTGATAATAAATTAACTTTTTTGACAGAACATCATTTAAAAAATAATGCAAGATTACAAGTTTTATTAATGAATAATAACCCGGAATTGGACACTTTACCAATTTTCAAAGCAGCTAATGTTGAATATAATACATACAGGTAAAATAATTTTTTATTTAATTTTATTATACCGAATGTTGATTATCATTATAATTTTTCGATAATGAGTAGTAGATAATATATACATAGATAATTCGTACTTTGAATATATTTATTAATGAATTTTTACAGTATATATCGATTTGAATGTTCAAATTGTGGCTTGCATTTCCTCGAAGAAGAAACTTTCAATGCCATGCCAGCAATGACACGATTAAATCTCTCCAGAAATCGTCTGGCTAGTCTTCCAAACGGATTTTTGAATAGTCTCTCATCCTTGCGAATCCTTGATCTCTCTGACAATATAATTAATTCTTTAGAAAGTGAAATGTTTCATGGTGCTACCAGTTTAAGTAAACTCAATCTTGCGGGTAATCCTTTGACAACATTACAAGTAACACCATTCCTGAAGACTCCTAGTCTTACTAAACTCGACGTAAGCAGATGCGCTTTGGAAAGAGTATGGAGTGAAGCTAGAATTCCATTGACTACTTTACGGTATATAACATTATAATGCAAAAATAATTTTTGTTCATTTCTATTGAAAAATTTAATTTTTTAATGAATAATGAATACATATCATTTTTTAAATTATTTTATAAATAAAAATATAAAAAAATATACAATTACGAAAGAAGATAAAATAAATCGTAAATAAAATTATAATTTATCTATTATTTTATTTTTAGATATCTATCAGTTCGAGAAAATCTTCTTCATCATATCACCGTGGAAGAACTGAAAGCAATGCCATCACTTGTTAGTTTGGATTTATCACACAATCCTCTTGATTGTGATGTTGAATTCAATGAAGCAGTTCAGTGGCTTACCGATCATGGTGTAACTCCAATTGAAACATTGAAGTATTTATTAATTTTGAAAATATGAATTAAATGAAATATATAAATATATAAATATTCAATTTTTTTTAATATTTTCAGATATATAAGCAATTATGGTAATACTGATAATTATCAAGATTCTGAAGGTATTAGTCAATGGACGGATTTGGCAAAAGTAGTTTGTGACGGTATTAGTTCTGGACCACGACCGAGGCCAGTTCCTCAGAAAGAAAAGAAAAACAATTTCCTTGGTGGATTTGATTCATCTGAAGATTCTGATTCTTTATTAAGAAGCAATGTTAAAAGTGACGAAGTAAGTATAAATTTTACTATATTTTTGATTAATGATTTATATACAATTATAATTTTAATATTGTTTCTCGATTCAAAAAATATTAAAATTATATGTAAAAATTATTTTAAAAGTTAATAATAATTCTTTTATATTAGGAATTAATTAAGTTGCAAATTGATCACGGAATAAAATTGAATGAAGAAGTTGAAAAAGCTTGGACAACGCAAGATCAAGAATATGAAGATTTTGTTACTTCAGAGAATATAGAATATCATCCCTGGTACACTAATGCACTTTGGCCTGTAATGATTGTAATTATTATAACTTCGATAATTCTCTTATTAACAGTGCATATTGTAATTCACTTGGCGAAACGCCGAGGTCAAGGACCCGTTATTAGGCCACCAATGATCTTACGACAAGGTTTTATTGATAACAAGAATTGTGGTTTAGTGTATAAACCACTTCAAGAAGAAATTGCTACTCCCCATGTTCCGAAACGGGGAAGCTTTTATTCTAGTAGTACATTCCATTATGATAAAATTGTGCCAGAAAGCGTATAAAATTTATTATCAATCAAATTATCAATTATTTAGAATAATAATGTAATGCAATTTAACCTGCCGTTAAAGAAAAAATTTTTAAAGAAATATTTTTAAATAAATCAATGACTTAATTATATTCAGGAAAACGTGTTATATATAAACGTAATATATTTATAATGGTAAAAAATTAATTGTAATAAATTTTTACAATTAATATTATAAAATAAAAAATAAAATTCGTAAATAAAATGAAATATATATATTAACAAAGATATATTAACAAACTGGATTAAATTAATTATAGAAAAACACGTTTTTAAAGTACTCAATTTTCTTTAAACTACTTTCAAAATTTTTATAATACTTATTAATAATATTTTGGAAAAATTTTATATGAAATTTTCATTTACATAAACAATTAATATTTTTTTTTATTTCAAATAAAAAGTTTTTTACAAATCAAAGTTATATTTCGCTAATTAATTATATAACACTAACTATATATATTTAATTATTATTGCATATTAATAATTGTAGAATTATTATTTTGGGAAATAAATGGATTACTAAAAAAAAAAATTAGAAACAAAAAAAACAAAAACTAATAAATATTTTAAAAGCAGGGTTTTTAGAATACAACGAATGTATTTTTATATTTTAAATTAAAACAATTTTTTAACATTCATCAGATACATAGTTACAATAATATATATGAAACATAAGTTTCGTAATTTTTAATAGTGATAATGATAATATTATTCGCAACATTTAAGCCATGAAAAATAAGTATTACTTTTAAAGGAAAAAGTATACTACTAAATAAATTAATATTTCGTAGTGTAACTAGTACGTTATTTTGTACTATATATTATGCTACATATTGTAAATAATGTATAACGTTTAAATAAAAATTTTAATTAATTAGTAAATAAGTGAAAATTATTTTTTAATGTTCTATTCCATACATATCATATATTAATCATATATGTATCACATATTAAATATATGTAAGTATATAATATAATATCTTTATTTATATTTTGATTTTATGTATATAATATCTATTTAAAAAATAAAATTTTTTATTTTAAATTTTTTTAATAATATCATAATTTTAAATTTTCTTTCAAATAAATAGATATATATATATATATATATAGAATATACCCTATTATATATATCATGTATAGAATATACCATATTATATATACCATGTATAGAATATCATATATGTTATATATATTATAATATATAATATTAGATAAGATTTCAAGTTTATACATACATATATATGTATATGAATTCATATATATTTCAAAATCTTTGACCTCAAATATAATCGATGTTAACACAAAAAAAACTAATAATATATTTTAATCAGTTTACTCTTCAAGTAACTATTTGAAATATGATAATTTGTCCTACTTTTTAACTTATTTTTTAAATAAAAATATTTAAAATATAATTTAGAGATAATAATATTATTTATTATTTGTTCTATTTCAATCAATAAAAGATTATAAATTTTCTGTTTGAAAATTTTAATTTTTTAATCAAATTCATTTGATATTAAAGAAAATCTAAATATTGATACGGTACTGATATTCTGAACATAAAATTATTCCATTATAGATAAGTATAACAGAATTGTATCCAAATGTTTAGTATTAATTAAAGAACGCTATAGATCGATCAGTTTCTAAGAATTAATATTTTTCACAATCAATATTTTTATATTCAAATTTTAAAACTTTATTTTATAGTCAAAAATTTATTATTAAAAAATGCTTTCCAAAAGACGCATTTTAGATCTATTACAAGTTATTTCTTCTCAATCGTAAGTATACTTATAAATATATAGTATAAATATATAAAATTATATAATTAATTTATCTTAAAAACCATTTTATAAATTATTATATATTTTAATTTTTATATAATATATTATATTTTATAATATCAATATTTATGTATATATATATATTATATATATATTATTTATATTATATATATATATATATAGAGAGATACAAATTATATATTATTTGAAAAATTAATATTATGTATAAATTTTTTCATATTAATATATTTCTATGTAAGAACAAGAAAATTTTTATTTTTGATATATTGATTAATTTAAATTTTTTATAGTTGTAAATGCCCAGCTCATGCAAATCCAAGAAGTACTTTATGTGAACTAAAAAAAGTTCAAAGCACAGTGGCTAGTGCTACATTAACAAAAGAATATGCATTTGAAGTATGTATTTGCAATATTTAAAGATAAATAACCTATAATGAAAATAATAATATAATGAAGCTTGATTATAGATCAAATACATGATACAAAAAAGAAAATTCATACTTTATGTGCATAAAATTTTATGATTAAATTTATTCTATTAATATTATCTTAATAAAAATATTTGCAGATGGCTTCTTCTACAGTACGATATGGTACTGGTGTTACAAGAGAATTAGGTATGGATGTGCAAAATTTTGGTTCCAAAAATGTATGTTTAATGACAGATTCCAATTTAATAAATTTACCACCTGTTAAAACTGCTATGGATAGTCTTACTAAACATGGTATTCAAACTTCAGTTTATGATAATGTACGCGTAGAACCTACAGAACAGAGTTTAAAAGATTCTATTGAGTTTGTTAAAAATGGAAAATTTGATGCCTTTATAGCGGTAAGAAATAAACATATAACAAGTTTCTCAAAATATTTGATTTATATTTTTTTGAAATATATTATGAAAATATATTACTTATTATTTAAATTAGTAAAGAATTTTATATCTTAAAAAGTAAAAAATTAAATCCATTTATTATAAAAAGTAAAGAATTGAGAAGATAATTATTCTTATTAAAAAATCAAGAATGAAAAAGTAATTATTTTTATTTAAGTTTTATAATATTAATAATAGTGTAAATATATACTTAATATTACTATTAATATATTATTTATTTAATATAGAACAATTTAAAACATAAAATTAATTTTTTCATCAGATAGGAGGTGGTTCAGTGATAGATACTTGTAAGGTAGCAAATCTTTATAGTTCTGATCCACAAGCAGATTTTTTAGATTATGTAAATGCACCTATTGGTAAAGGAAAACCAGTTACAGTACAGTTAAAACCATTAATAGCTGTACCAACTACATCTGGTACTGGTTCAGAAACAACTGGTGTTTCTATCTTTGATTATCAACCACTTAAAGCCAAAACTGGAATTGCTAATAGGTAAATTATAATATTGCAATAAAATTTTTGGTTTATGATTATATTTTATATATAAATTGTATATTTGTCATATATTATTAAATATTATTATTAAATTTAAAATTAAATTTAAGAATTTGTTTATAGAGCATTGAAACCCACTTTGGGTCTTATTGATCCAAATCATACATTGAGTTTGCCAGAAAGAGTCTGTGCTTATTCTGGTTTTGATGTACTATGTCATGCTCTTGAATCTTTTACTGCATTACCATATACTGAAAGAACTTGTCCTTCTAATCCGATACTTAGACCAGCCTACCAAGGGAGCAATCCTATTAGTGATGTATGGTCAAAATATGCTCTTCAAATAATGCATAAGTAAATAATTACTTTTATTATGCTAAAAAATAATGTTTGCTAAAAGAATATTAAATAGAATAAAAAAATATAAATTTATATATTTTTAATAATTCTAATTATAATTTATTTTAGTTTTTTAATTTTCTTAAAAAATCAATTATTTTCAGTTACAAATAAATAATAAAATAATAATTAAAAATTAAAGAAAAAATGCTTTTATTATTTTTTTATATATAGATATTTTAAAAGAGCAGTATATAATCAAGATGATCTTGAAGCTAGGAGTAACATGCATCTTGCAAGTACAATGGCAGGTGTTGGATTTGGTAATGCAGGAGTTCATCTTTGTCATGCACTTTCTTATCCTATTAGTGGAAATGTACGAAATTTTCAGCCCATGGTACTTATAATAAATAATAAAAAAAATAAAAATAATAAAAATTCTTTAAAATAAATAAATTTTATGTTAAAGAAAATTATAATAAAAAAAATTTAAATACATTGTTTATTATAGGGTTATAGCAAAGATCATCCTATAGTGCCACATGGACTATCAGTTGTTATAACTGCACCTGCTGTATTTTCTTTTACTGGAAATGCATGTGCAGAAAGGCATTTAGAAGCTGCTGAATTACTTGGTGCTGATATTAGTCGAGCTAAAAAAAGTGATGCAGGCAAAATATTAGCAGATACTGTAAGAGAATATATGCAGATGATGAAAATTGAAAATGGTTTGGATGAATTAGGTTTCAAAAAAGAAGACATTCCTACTTTAGTAGAAGGCACATTACCACAAGTAAGCAAATTCATTATAATTATTTTTTTTATTATAAATATTTTCTTTATTATAGATATTATATTTAATAAGAATATAATAACTATTAATATTAAGTAAAATATTTAATTATGTATTTTAATAAGTAAAAAACAATTTATATTTAATTTGAAATAGTGAGTATATATGAATTTTTGAATGAATAACAATTAAGTAAATTTGTCATATATTTTTAATTTCATATACTAATATATATAAATTAACAATTACTATATATATATGTATTTATATCTTGTTTATGATCAAGAATATATATATTTTATATATATATTACAGTTACATATGTATATAATTTATGTGCTTTTCTTATTTATATTATAAATTAATTTAATTTTATATTATTTATAGCATCGTATTACAAAATTAGCACCACGAGAACAATCAAGAGAGGATTTAGCCCAATTATTTGAAAATTCTTTTACAATATATTAAAAGAAAATTAATTTTTAAAGTTATATTTTTTAAAAACAATAAATAAGGACAAAATTTAAATAATATCTAATTTTTTTCTAAATGAAATATTATCTTTAATCTATTTTTTAAAAAATTTTATTTTTTATAAAAATTTTTTTTATAAGTTATATAACGAAATAATCTGAACTAATAATTTAAATATATAAATGTAAATATATAAATATATTAGTAAAACAATCATATATTATATGTCTTAATAATATTAATTTATTTACCATCAAACTTCCTTAAAAAATATCATTCTAATAATAAATATCCATTTTCGTATATTATTAATTTTCTTGAATATGAATATTAAGATAATTTTATTTATTAGAAATGTTTTTGATTTAATCCTCTAATAATAATCTCACTAATAATAATCATATAAAGCAAATAATATACAAAAAATAATTATAATAATGTCGTGGATTTACGGTATTCGTTCAAAAATTAAATTACGCTTTAAATATAAATTTTAAAAATATAAAAATATAAAATTTTTAATTTGTATTATTTATTTCAAATATATAATTCCTTATAAATATCTTATTTTTACTTACTTTTAATATTCAGATATTATTATTATAAATAGTATTATTCATTATTCATTTTTCCTTCATCTTGAATCAATTAAACTATAAAAAACTATTTTAGATCTGTACAAAAAATTTCAAAATTCTTGAGTGATGCTAACAAATAAATTAAAAATTTTTAAACTAAGGCTAAAAATTCCGATTTTGAGAAAACATAAAAGAAACGAATGAAAAATAATGCAGCTGTTTTTTTTTTTTTACTGTTTTAACTAATTTAGTATAAAATTTATTACATTTTAAGATTTTAAATTTATATTTTATATTGCAATTGATTTTTTATAGCAAATTATATATTTGTAATTAAACGAATCAAAACAATTAATTTCATCATACGATTATTGTTACTATATTGATGTAAGTTATTTCTGAGAAATAAAAATAAGGTTTTAATATTTCATTTTCTGATGAAATAAAATAATTTTATTAATATTTATCTTTTAAACTTTAGATCAACAAAAACATTATTTTTTAAAAAAAAAACCAAACAATATATAATAATCATGAACATTATCTTTGATATAAAAACAATAATTTATTGATTAGTTTTATATTTTGTTAATAATAATTTAATAATTATATAAGATATTAATAACATTAAAATAAATAACAAATTTAATATAATAGTGTGGACAAACTAGTATGCACGAGATTATATTTTTGTTTATTATATTTAAAATGAATCCAATGCGATAAATGCTAAAAAATATATATAAAGCATAAAAATATAAAAAAGATAAGATAAAATGAAAACGTAAAATTGAAAAATTCTAAATCGTTAGAATAAAAAAAACAATGGAGAGTTTATTACGATAACAGTTTATTACGATCATATTTTCATCCCCATCAATATATATAATTTGTAAAAATATTTTGCTTATTACATATTGATTTATATTCTAATTTTTGTTACATGTTCTTAAATATCATCTGATTCATAAGTATAAAGAAATCAATATTATTAACGTTAAATAATTGAAATAAATCACAAAATAACAATTGAAAAATATTTACTTATCTGATACATTAGATCCTTGTGTAGAATTTCTATTCACTTTTGCAGATGCCACTAAAATGGATGACAGAATGGTATAATCGATTCACATATCGATAACAATTGAAAGCACGATATTAATTATTTTTATTTTGAAACTATAACTGTCGAAACATTTTATATTTATATTATACTTTTAGCGGTAGTCTTTTCTACATAATATTTTCTACATAATATTTTTCTTATACGATATTGATATATATTGATATATAATGAGTTAATATAATTAAATATTATATATTTTATTATTACTCAAGTTAAAATGAACCAATGAAACTAAAGAATAAAATGGAAATAAAAAAATCATACATGCATATACTATATATATAATATTAATTTCTAATTACTTAAAAAAGAAGAATTCAATTTATAAAGGTACGTATGTGTATAATATAATCAAGAGTAAGATATAAATGTTAAAATAAATGAATAAGAATAAATTTTATTTCATAAAGAATGATATTAATAATTTAATAAAAACTGTTTTCAATTCTCAAATTTATTATATGTCCAATTAAAATAAAAATAGTATAGTATATTTTGATCAAGTATTGCAGTATGATAATTTATTTTATTTTTTAACTTATTTTGTTAAAAAAAATATTTAAAATAAAAATAATTATATTATTTATTATTTGTTCTTCTTCTTAACAAAAAATTCTATTTGATAATTTTTTTTAATTATTTGATATTAAAAAGAATTTGAATATTAATTGTACTAATATTATGTATATAATATTATTTCATTGCAGATAACAAGAAAATTATTCAAATATTCAGTACTGGTTACAGAACATAGATCAAATCAACAAGTTTTAAAAAATCAATATTTTTTTGTTTAAATCCTTATATTATATTCAAAACAATGCTTTCTAAAAAACCTAATTTAAATCTATTACAAATTATTTCTTTTCAATCGTAAGTATGCATATACATATTTATATATATAATATAATATAAATATATTATATATTATAATATAATATANAAAATTATTTTATTTTAAAAATTATTTTTACAATTATTTGTAAATTATTTTTATAATATAATTTTGTAAATATTATTTTTGTAATTATATTAATAAAATATTTTAGTATCAATATTGATATATATGTGTATATATTATATTAAAAGATATAAATTATTCTAAAAATTAATATTATATAATGTTTTAATATTAATATATTTCTATGTATGAACATAAATAATTTTTGTTTTTAATATTTTATTATTATTATATTTATATTATATTATATTTATATTTAATTTAGATTAATTTAATTTAATTTAATTTTTTATAGATGTAAATATCCATTTTATGCAAATCCAGGAAATACAACTATATTTATTTTTTATGAATTAAAAAAAAATCAAAGTACAACAACTAATACCACACTAACAAAAGAATATGCATTTGAGGTATGTATTTTTAATATATATATTATTTATATGTATATATAATAATAATATATATATTATTTATATTATTTATATTATTTATACATATATTATATAAAGAGATGAATAATTTTATGCATTGAATCTAAATTTATTATAGATTCAATAATTAATGAAGATAATTATTTAATCTATAATAAGAGAAAGAAAATTTACACTTTATATAATATAAAACTTTTTTTTAATAAATTAATATTATTATTTTATTAATATCATTTTAATAAAAATATTTGCAGATGACTTCTCCTACATTACGATATGGTATTGGTGTTACAAGAGAATTGGGTATGGATATGCAAAATTTTGGTTCCAAAAATGTATGTTTAATAACAGATTCTAATTTAGTAAATTTACCACCTGTTAAAACTGCTTTAAACAGTCTTATTAAATATAAAAATCAAACTACAGTTTATGGTAATGTACGTGTAGAACCCACAGATCAGAGTTTAAAAGACTGTATTGAATTTGTTAAACTCAAAAAGTTTGATGGTTTCGTAGCGGTAAGAAATAAATATATAACAAGTTTTTTGAAAATTTTGATTTTTATTTTCTTGAATTATATTATAAAAATTTAACAAGAAATCTTGTATTAAAAAAAAAGAAATTAAAAATTTAAAGCATAAAATTAATTTTTTTATCAGATAGGAGGTGGTTCAGTAATAGATACTTGTAAGGTAGCAAATCTTTATAGTTCTGATCCACAAGCAGATTTTTTAGATTATGTAAATGCACCTATTGGTAAAGAAAAACCAATTACAGTGCAATTAAAACCATTAGTAGCTGTACCAACCACTTTTGGTACTGGTTCAGAAACAAGTGGTATTTGTATCTTTACTTATGAACCACTTAAAGCCAAAATTGGAATTATTAATAGGTTAATAAGTTATAATATTGCAATAAAATTATTGTTTTATAATTATTTACATATAATTATATATTTATGTATTTGTTATATTAAATATTATTATTATATTATTTAGAATGATTTGAGGATTATTTTCAGAGCTTTAAGACCCACTTTGGGTCTTATTGATCCAAACCATACATTGAGTTTACCAGAAAGAGTCTGTGCTTATTCTGGCTTTGATGTATTATGTAATGCTCTTGAATCTTTTACTGCATTACCATATACAGAAAGAATTTGTCCTCCCAATCCAATTCTTAGACCAGTTTACCAAGGGAGCAATCCTATTAGTGATGTATGGTCAAAATTTACTCTTCAAATAATGCACAAGTAAATAATTATCTTTATTTTGATGAAAAATAATGTTGTAGTAGTTAATAATGTAAACAAATAGAATTAAAAATATATAAATATAAATTTATATTTTTTATTTGGTTTATATTTATAATTTATCTTTGTTTTCCAATTTTCTTAAAAGATCAATTATTATAATAATAATAATATTTTTACTACTATTTTTTTTTACTATTTTTTTATATATAGATATTTTAAAAGGGCAGTGTATAATCAAGATGATATTGAAGCTAGGAGTAACATGCATCTTGCAAGTACCATGGCAGGTGTTGGATTTAGTAATGCAGGAGTTCATCTTTGTCATGCACTTTCTTATCCTATTAGTGGACATGCAAAAAGTTTTCAACCAATAGTACATATAATAAAATACAAATATAATTTTTATGTTAAGTATTAAAAATAATTTAAATATTGATTATTTATTACAGAATTATGGCAAAGATCGTGCTATAGTGCCACATGGACTATCAGTTATTATAACTGCACCTGCTGTATTTTCCTTTACTGGAAGTGCGTGCCCAGAAAAACATTTAGTAGCTGCTGAATTACTTGGTGCTGATATTAGTCAAGCTAAAAAAAGTGATGCTGGCAAAATATTAGCAGATACTATAAGAAAATATATGCAAATAATGAAAATTGAAAATGGTTTGGCTGAATTAGGTTTCAAAAAAGAAGACATTCCTATTTTAGTGGAAGGTACATTGCAACAAGTGAGCATTATGGTTATTTTTCTCTCTTTATTATATATTTAGTTATCATAAATATTAAATAGAAATATTATGACTATTAATATTAAATAAAGTATTTAATTTTGATAAGTGAAAAAAAATTTACAATCAATTTTAAATAGTGATTTATTGGTCACCATACATGAATGAATGACAATTAAGTAAATTTGTCATATATTTTTAATTTCATATGCTAACATATATGACGAATTAACAATTGTCATGTAATATAATATATATATATATATATTTTTTTACATTTTAAATTTTTTGGTATGATCATACAATATTTTATACATACATTATGGTTACATATATATTTTTTTTCATTAATATTATAAATTAATTTTATATTATTTACAGAAACGTCTTACGAAATTAGCACCACGAGAACATTCAAGAGAGGATCTAGCTCAAATATTTGAAAACTCTTTTAGAATATATTAAGAAAAAAATAATTTCTAAAGCCATATTTTTTTTACGAATATTATATAAACTATTTTTTAATATCTAATTTTTTCTAAGAAATTTTATTACCTTTAATTTATTTTTTAAATAAACATTATATTTTTTGATAATTATTATATGAACGAAATAATCTGAAGTAATAAATTAAAAATTGTGAATAAAATATTAATATTAAGAATACGATTAAATCAAAAAAAAATATATTGACATTTAGTATTGATACAAACAAGCAATTTATAATAGCTATAAAGTCATTTTTTTATCAAAAAATCCTTAATAAAGAATTCATCATTACAAGAATGATGATAAGGATCTCTGAATTTAATGACTTATATTCTATGGTGTAAATTTAGTAATAAATTCTTATTCTTATTAGATTATACATACATATTTTAATAATTTCAATTTCGCAAAATACAAAATTTAATTATTCATGCCAAGTATATCATATATGTTCATTAAATCATTGCACATTTATCATTAATATTAAAATTTTCAAGAAATTAGAGATTAGCTACAGATTAATACTATCCGAAGCAGTCAAATTTTCTTTTATAAATTTAATAAATCCTCGAAAAGTACTTGTATGTAAAATTTAGATAGAAATAATTCTCTTTAATATACACATCATCGAAAAATGTAGAATTATTGGTAACATGAGTTGATCGATTTTATATATTTAATGATTAATATTGTAAAATCAAAATCAATATAATTGATATCAATAATTTATTGATATCATTTTACTGCTTAATAGTTGATTTTTTATTATTTTGAGAAATGTATTAAGCATAAGATTTTTCTTTTAAAATATAAAAATATGAATACATGTTTAGTGACTAAATTAATATGAAATCATTGAAATGTATAAATATCATTTATATATTATATTAAATGATAATGATAAATAATAAATTTTTCATTCATATACAAATGATATTTTAAATTTCTAATGATATCAATTAATATCTAAAAGTATGTATTATCAATTTTTTTATATTAAAGAAAAATGTTACTAATATTATTAGTTATATAACTAGTTTGATTTATAAACATTTTTCAAAATAATTCCTATTCAAACTCAATTCAAATGAAATAGATATTGTTTTTATTATGTCAAATATTTTTTTCTTTTCTGTTCTCGGTTTCATTTTTCATATATGATGTAAAATTTGTCTTATAAAATTTATATAGTAAGTTTTTTTACATTTGATATACACATAATATATGAATAAAAGTTTTTTAGAAAATTCGTTTTTTATGGTGTATATCGTTAAGATTTTTAATTCAAAAATATTTTTTTCAGGCCAAAACTTTTTAAAAGTTAACTTCTGAAATTTATAATATTAAGAAAATAATTAATTTTTCTTATTACGCAATAAAATTAATCTCACTGATACAATTTAAAATTACATATAGCAATTATTTACCTTAAATATTTTATCAGAATGATGTTTGAATTTTACTTTTGCTGTAACTTTGCGTAAATAATTTTCCATATCCGATTATGTTATTAAAATATTATCCATATTATTTCTTTGAATCGTTGAATATTACGTTCAAACTATAAAATATTAAATAATATTTTGTAATTATTGTTTATTCTTATTTATATGAATATATGAATATATATATATGCAAAATATATATATATGCAAAGAAAATAATGATACGTTGTATCTTTATATATATTAATTAAAATAATATTAATTTACTTACCGTCGAACCTCCTTGAGAAATACCACTCTATCAATAAATATTCATTTTCACAGTTTGAACTAGCTTTCTCGACTGCGAATATAAGAGTGTTTCATTTATATTTATGAGGAACATCTTTGATTTAATCCTCCCCACTAATAATAATGTTGATATTTGCTTCTTGATATTAAACTATTTCATACTTCAATGATTGTAACAAATAGTATATACAAAAAAAATAATAATAGTGCCGTGAATTTACGATATTCGTTCAAAGGAAGATTAAATTACGCTTCAAATATGAATTCTGAGAATTTGTCATTTGTACTATTTGCTTCAAATAATTCCTTATAAATTACACGAACCTTATTTTTACTTGACTATTCAGATATCAATTGATTTTGAATTCTTCATCTTGAATTCTTCATCTTAAATTATACAAAACTATTTTAGATCTGTAAAAAAAAAAAAAAAAAATTCTAAAAGATTTGAACGAACGTGCCAAAAAAGTTAAAAATTTTCAATACGCAATATTTTTCAAAAAACGAACATGATATATGATACTAACTTGATATGGATAAATATAATGTAGTTTATTATTATTCAAATTAAAATTAACCGATGAAGTTAAAAAAAAATCATAACTATATATATATATATATATGTGTATATGCTACATCGATATATAATATTTTTTGATCATTTCGAAAAGGAAAAGGATAATTCATTTATAAAAGTATGTATACATATATAATATAAGAATCAAGAATAATGTTGAAATGAATGAATAGGGATAAATTTTATTTCGTAAAGGAAAAAAATTTAATAATTTAAATGCGTTTAACAAAAACTATGTTTTGAATTATCAAATTTATTATTATCTCGAATTAGAATAAGAATGTTATTATAATATATCTCCTTTAATGTCAAATAATATTTACTTAAAATATTTTCAGTTTCAGGAAATAGGTAAAGTGTATGACCTGTTTTAAACATCTTGTAAATCTATCGCAGATATTATGTACTACATCCATCATGAAATAATTTCAAAGTATATCTCATAATAATTATTTGAAAATGAATATCTAAATTTGATACTACTTCAAAATATATGCTGTATTCAAAGCAATGTTGTGTTTTCTTTAAACAAATGTTTTCTTTAAACAAATTAGGATAAATACGAAATAAGTACTAAATATTCAAAGTATTTATACAAAATATTCTTTCTTATCTCTAAAATATAACTCACTCTTGAGACGTTTTTTTTTTGTAAGAAAAATATCAAATGTCAAAAGATCTTGGTAAGAAATTATTATTTTTTGATACGTATCCACCAATTTTGCATACAAATTCGTGCTATTGATTTTTTGACATAATGCAAATGCACTATGTAAATTTTTATAATAATATATAATATTATATATAATATAGTTTTATCGTTTAAAATTATTCCAGTTGTAGGAATTAATGGATTTGGAAGAATAGGGAGAATGTGTTTACGTGCTTGTATCGAAAAGGATATTACGGTAACGATATTACAATAATTGTATACTCGCGTGGAAAATTTTTTCTATCCAAAGAAGAGGCACAAAATAATTATATTCCATTAGGTCAAGTTGGTTAATGATCCATATATTTCGACCGACTATATGATATATCTGTTCAAATTTGACTCGACTCATGGAGCGTATCCTTTGAAATTAGAATGTGAAAATGGGCATATTATTATCGGAGGTATTATTTATTTTTTAAGATAGATTATAAATTTTTAAATTTTCAAAATTGACAATCCTTTTTCTTTTCTTTTTCTTTTTTTCTTTTCTTTTCTTTTCTTTTTTTTTTTTTTTTCACGAAGAGAACAAAATAGCCACATCCCAGGAAAAGAATCCATGTAAAATAAATTGGAAAGGCGCGGGTGTGACATACGTAATCGAATCCACTGGTCTTTTTACTACGTTAGAAAAAGCAAGCGTAAATCTATTTTAATTTCTAGAAATAATCCTGAGAAATAATATTAGAAATAGAAAAAGTCGTGATTTATTTTAGTTACATATGGATGGCGGTGGGAAGAGAGTGATTATTACAGCGCCTTCTATAGACGCGCCGATGATAGTTTATGGGGTGAATCATACTTGTTACGATCCGAAAAGGGGTAAAATAGTGTCGGCTGCGTCTTGCACGACAAATTGTGCAGCGCCGATCATTCGATTAATGCACGATAAATTCGATGTTATTGAAGTAATGATTAGTAGTGTGCACGCTTTAACGTCGATGCAACGAACATTAGACGGACCTTTAGAAAGAGGGAAAGTAATTATAAAAAAAATATTTTATATCACGCTTTCTTAACTAATTTTTAATAGTTGTTAATTTTTTTTTTACAGTTATTATTATTCTACATCATATAATAAAATATAGATGATTTAATTTATATATTAATTTAAATATATTATTATATTTTTATTGTAGTTGTGGAGAGATGGTAGAGGCGCTCTTCAAAATATCATACCAACATCTTCAGGAGCTGCTAAATCATTGGATAAAATTATCCCTGAACTTAAAGGCAAAATATCTGCAATAGCTTTTAGAGTACCAATCCCAAATGTTTCTTTATGCGATATGACTTTTAGGTAACGTTTTCATAAATTATAAAATGTACAGTAATTTTCTGACATTGTTTAATAATACTTTAGAGTTAATAAACCGACAACGTATGAAGAGATAAAAGAAGCAATGAAAACAGCATCAGAAAACGATTTGAAAGGTATATTGGGTTATACAGATGATGATTGTGTATCATCTGATTTCAATAGGACAACTTATTCGTGTATCTTCGATGCTAAAGCTGGCATTCCTCAGACAAGTACATTTATCAAAGTTATTGCGTGGTAATTTTTGAATAATTTTTGAATGTATAAACAAATATATAAATCAAATAAATATCTCGCTTTGTTTGTTAATTAATGAAGATAAATGTTTACAGGTATGATAATGAATATGGTTATGCGCATCGTGTAATGGATTTAATATTATACATGTATCAAGTTGATTCTGGTAATATACCAGTACCTGCAGAAGAGATAGAAGAAAGTGAAGATTAATTATTTTGTTCAGTACTAAGGATATATTATAAGCCTACATTTTATGTAAACTAATATGTCTATTCTATCTATGTTTTCAATTAGATAATTTAAAGATCATTTATTACATTAAAATTTCATTTATTTCATTTTGTTTTATGTATGTATATGTACTTTTTCCCTTAAAAGAGTAAAAGTTTGATTTAAATAAAATTATTGAATAAATAATATTTGTATATTGTACAGAAATATAATAAATAATCAACTTTATAATTTATTTCTTAAACAAAAAAATTTTGCAGTATTATTACGATCCGAAGTAGTAATATAATATTTGAATATTTAAATTTGGCGGCGTTTGAATACGTCGATAAATTTAATCACGTGACCCGAACATAACCGATGGTATACGAAATTAAAGAAACAGTTACGTTACAGCGCATACGCCTAAAATTGCTGTCGGTTATATTACCGGTTTCTGCCCTTCAAATGACACACTGCTTCTGCACAGACCCGAGTGAACTGACGTAAGTTACGTTTTTTTTTATTTTAATTTTAATTCATCATTCTATTAATTAATTCTTTTTATTATTTCATGATATTATTTTATGATACATGGCATGTAATAAATGATAATCGATCATTTGATATTTAATATCAAATAATATCCAATATAAAATAATTCAAAATTAGGCTTCTATTTAGAATTACATAGCATATATTATGTACATTTTTCACCGGTTGATATGACGTCATTCAATATAAATCCTACAATAATTTTTTTATTTAAGAATCATTTTGAATATATCTGAATTTATGTTTGAAAACAATATATATTATAATTTTCAGTTGTTATTTGTTTTATCTTTAAGTTAATTTTTTTAATTACTATGAATTAATCAAATATTAATTATAATATTAATTATACAATATTGATTATTTAGAAATAAAAATAGTCAATTTTAGTATTTGATCAATTTAGGATTTTATTAAATATAAAATAATTTCTAGGAAAATTTGACTTTTACAAGTTTCGAATATCATTGAATCATTGTAACTAATTTTTCTCAATAATGGATTTTAAAATAAATTATAATTTTATTTTCCAAAATAAAAGTATATTTTCAAAAATATAAATATTTTAATATTTTTATCCATTAAATATGTTTTCCAAAAATTCAGAATAATTTATTAAGTTTTGTTAACTTCATTATTATGTATATATATATATATATATTCATTCAATCATTATATCATATTTTTATATAATCATTTATTCGTTATATGTATAATCCAAATTATAAACAAATTTTATATCAAAAAAATAATATCGTAAGTAATATGATGAATATTTATGAATGTTAATGATTTAATATATATTGTATCATTTGTTTATAACTTCCATATACTTTTAAATCGTATAATATAAAAAATATGTATTTTTTCGTATATATTATTGTAAAAATTGCAATATGTGTGAAAGATCACGTTTGTCTTTAAGTAAAAGTTGAATGAGAAGCGTTGAGATCTTTGACCTTGAGTGACCTTTATTATTAAATGAAATTTAATAATACAAATATCTGAAATGCAATATTATTTTAATTTATAGTAAATTTTTTAATGTAATAAAGAAAATGTATAAAAATTATTTTTAATATTAAAAACAAGAATATGATGAACAAAAATCTTTTTTAATATATCTATGTTCACAAATTATATTATCCATATTTTTTTACTTCAATAACAATATTTACAACAAAACACAATTGAATTTACAAATGAATTAGTATAGATATATCATAGATTTTGAATTATTTCAACTATGTTATATACAAATTATATATATATACATATATAATAAATATTTTCATTTACTTAATAAATATCTTCCTATTTAAGAAGATAAAAAATAATATTACAAATCAAAATATAATATCATCAAATCAATATCATCATCAATATCATCATTAATTAATATCATAAATTAAAAAAATTATTTTGAGGTTATGACGTTTACATTGAAATTACTTTCATTTACATCGATAACAAAAAAATTTACGAATATATTTTATGAAAACCAACGAATATTTAATGTATCGAAAATATGTTATCAAAAATTAAATCGTTCATTTTCTAGTTGCGAAGACATGAGTAAAATCGGTATCAACGGTTTTGGCCGTATTGGCCGTCTTGTATTTAGGGCTTCCATTGAGTTTGGTGCTCAGGTATTAAATAATTTATTGATATATTAATATATTTATATAAAATATATTTCATATATTTTTATATTCAGTTTTTATCATTCAGAAATTATTATAATTTTTTTAATAGGTTGTTGCCATTAATGATCCCTTTATTGGTTTGGAATATATGGCATATATGTTAAAATATGATTCTACACATGGAAAATTCAAAGGAGATGTCAAAATTGAAAATGATCAACTAGTTGTTAATGGTAATAAAATTGCTGTATTTAGTGAACGTGAGGCAAAAAATATTCCATGGACAAAAGCTGGAGCTGAATATATTGTGGAATCCACTGGTGTTTATACTACCAAGGAAAAAGCTTCTGTATGTATTCATACATATTAAAAATATATAATCTAAAATATATATACATATAAATATATATATATATTATTTAATTATTTAAATTTTTCAGGGTCATTTACAGGCTGGTGCAAAGAAAGTTGTTATTACTGCACCATCAGCTGATGCACCTATGTTTGTTTGTGGTGTTAATTTGGATGCTTATGATCCAAGTTATACTATTGTTTCCAATGCTTCTTGTACTACCAATTGTTTAGCCCCTCTTGCTAAAGTTATTCATGATAATTTTGAAATCGTTGAAGGTCTTATGACTACTGTTCATGCTGTCACTGCTACACAAAAAGTTGTTGATGCACCTTCTGCAAAAGTATGTCATTTTTTTTCTGATGATGTTTTGTTTCTCATTTTTCTATATCATATATCATATATCAATATTTTTATTTATTTTTATTATTTTACAGTTATGGCGAGATGGTCGTGGTGCTTGTCAAAATATTATTCCTGCTGCAACTGGAGCAGCTAAAGCTGTTGGCAAAGTTATTCCAGCTCTTGATGGAAAATTGACTGGTATGGCCTTCCGTGTACCAGTACATAATGTATCAGTTGTTGACTTAACAGTCAGACTTGGCAAAGGTGCAGACTATAAAACTATAAAAGCTAAAGTAAAGGAAGCCTCTGAAGGACCATTGAAAGGAATTTTAGGATATACGGAAGATGAAGTAGTTTCTTCCGATTTTATTGGTGATGACCATGCCAGTATTTTTGATGCTAAAGCTGGTATAGCTTTGAACAATAATTTTGTTAAGTTAATTTCATGGTATGATAATGAATATGGTTATTCATGTCGTGTAATTGATTTAATTAAGTACATGCAGTCAAAAGAGAAGTAAATTATTTTGCATATTTATATGTAACACATTTTCATGTTTCTATGAGCATATCGTTGTTGCATGTATATTTCAAACTAAATAACGTTATGTTTAATCAATAGATTCCAATCACAAATTAAAATGTGAAATAAGAGTATTTTTAGCAGATTTTTTTTTGCATATAAAATAGTTATAACTAATATTATATAGATATCAATCGGAAGAAGTACAAAAAAAAACAGTTTTTAAAGTTTATTATTTAACTTAAATTTTCGCTCATAATTTTTAAATAAGTTCGTAAACATATATAAAAAATATGAATGCAAATATATATAATTTATATAGTTACATATACAATATGCAAAAATTATTCTGGTATCATATATTATCTAAAAAAATAATTAATTAAAAAAGTAATGCAATTAAGAAGTAATTAATAAAAATATATTAATTACGATTAATTAGAATTATTAAAAAAATAATGTATGTTACATTTAATTATTCTTAATCATTTATTCATTTATCCACATTTATAATTAAGAATTTAAAATATTTCCGATTTATTTCTGTAATATTATTTGTCATTCAACTTATTGATATCAATAAAAATTGTTATGAAACTAAGAGAGTGCTTTATTTAATTTTTCAAACATTTCTTTATCTCCAACTATATATTGGTACATTTTTACAAGATTACAATGAATAATAGGAATGGAATAAATCAACAGTTAATTTCATATACTTTCTGTACAATTTTTGTACATTTACAAAAAGATTTTTTTATATAATTATTAATTGGAATATTTTTAAATAATTCTAACAAAAGTTTTTAACTATCAAAGAAATGGTAATAATATTAATTACAATGTTATTAAAGTTTTATATCGTATGGCACAAAAAATAATTCAACATTTCTTAATAGTATTAAATTAATTTTTATAATGATATCGAATAATTTCAAGAACATTGTCTTTATATACAAATAAAATCGTCTGGACTTATGAAAACAATAATTTGATGTAATATTTTGTATTACAATTAAAAATACAATTGAATAATCTATATAGAATAGAGAAAATAGAACGTACAAATTGATTAAAAGTATTAACGATTTTTTTTAAAGTATATTTATTCTTTGAATGTTCTGTTCCTGCAGATTTCATTTTCTCTCATTCCTTGTTTTAATCCTATTTGCTATGTACAATTATTATCATCACGAAATGAAATATATTGTAACATTTTAGGAATACCAATCCGTTATGTCATGCTGTGAAAAATTTGGTTGTACAGCGATACGAAAATACAATTTTATTTTGTTGCCATAAACAATAAACATTCATCACTCGCTTTTATACTATGTTTTTCATAGTTTTGTAGTATACAGTAACCATCTTTCGCTTTCGCGCGCGCGCTCTCTCTCTCTCTTTTTCTTTTCTACTTTCCCCTTTTTGATGCAATTTTTCTATTCAACTTTAAAAATTCTTTAATATATATAAAGTATTATTTCTCAGCAATTTAGCATAATCTTATGCATAAAAAATATAAGTTTTTAAAATTATTTGAACGTTAAAATGCTGTGTAACATTAGAATACTAGAGAGTGGCAGATGTTACTACAATATTTGTATCCACATTTCTAATAATGCACACTGGAATTATCTGTGAAAGAGAATAAAATGTGAATAGCGTAACCATAAAGAACTTTTGTTAACAATATTTTTTTAATATTTCTACTAACAATTAAAACATCTATTTTTTCCTATGAATTAAAATATTTATAAATATATTAGCAAATCACATATCTCTAAAACATTAAAAATATACAAAAGGACATTAGAAATCTAATTAATTTTTTAAACAATAACCGACAGTGGAAATAGATTGAATAGTTAATTAGATAATTAGATAATTTTTATTAATATTTGTTTTGAAATATTAATTTTAGGTTACGCTAACTGTTATGAAACTTTGCAAAAAGAAATATTCTAGACTAGCATGACACATGAGATATTCGATTTTACAACAAATTTAGGAAAAATCGATAATTCACAGTTTGGAGTCTTTAAAGATAATAACAAATTACATCATGTTAAAAGTAAAAGTTTTGCACGAAGATTTATACGTTCTTGAAGTGCGCTAGCTAATTCTCGTGTTAATTCTTCACAAACTAATCGCAATTCGGCGTTTTTTTCTCTTAATTCTTGTAATGTTAATTTTTTTGATTCTTCCACTTCATCCTTGGGAGCTTCTTCATCTCCACCTTCTCGCTCTATAAAAAAAAAGAAAAAAAAAAAAAAAAAAAAAAAAAAAAAAGAAAGAAAAAAAATTATAATATCTTAGAATCCATAGAGATATATAAGATTTTAATAAAAAAAATAAATAAAAGACTTACTTGGACTTGGTTTTCTATAAATATGAAACGCACCACAGACACCAGTAAATTGTTGTGATTGTGGAGTTTCCAGAGATGAATTTTCAGGTAGTTCGCTCTTTGGAGAAAAGTGAGAAAAATCAGCAACAAAACCTTGATTTTCATTTAGGGCTTTTTGTCCCTCTCCCTCACTTTTTTGACCAACCAATTTTCGAGGTGAAGTCTGTAGTAGAGATATATGACAAAATTTTCTTTATAACAATAATTTTGCCTACACATTTTAACTTTCTGAATCCATAACTGTTAACATCTAAAATATCTGAAATATCTACTGTGCAGATCCATAAAAGCAGCTTAATTAAATGTAGGTCTCATTATTAATAATTTTAATTTAAACATTTCATAATTGAGTTTTCATTATAGTTTTTTAAAAAAAAATAAGTGAAAATACTTACAATTCCAGGAGAGATTCTTGGTGGAACTAGCGGAGGTGCTCCAAGGAAACTTTGACCATTTTTCCCTACAAGAACGCGCACAGTTTGAAGCGTAAAACTTTGCTTTCTCAGCCACAGATGAAAAGTATCGCACAGTATTGGTAGCAACATATACCTAATTTATTAAGATCAAGACTAGAACTTCTTGCATGTGTTCTGTATGGTCTGGGTGGTGGTGGAGGCGGTGGTTCCTTCTTTGGAGTTACTATAATAGCTTCTTCAGGAGGTGGAGGTGGTTTTTTAATGAGAGGTCGTTGCACCAATGCACTTGCTGTACGTTGGAGATCATCATCTCCTAATGTAGTGCAGCTATTAGCGTTGCCATTTGCTCCAGAAGCAAGAATTGCTGCTTCAGGTGTCAAACGCAATGGTACAGGATGCAGAATTTTAGGATCTTTTTCAACAGCAGATTTTTGAAAATCAAAATTTACTAATTGTAAACCTGGACTAGTCAAAGAACTGCTAGTTCCAGTCGGCGAATCAACAAATTTTGTCCATTCTTTATTTCTTTCACGAGTACCAGAAGTATTAGGTGGAGTAGTTTTTTGAATAGTAGTAGTTGGTGGAATGGATGGTGGACCAGTCTTTTGCTTAAGCAAAGGAATTAATAATGGTGGAGGTAAAACATCAGGTAGAGGCACATGATTTCTTCGTAACACAACAAGATGCATAGCCACTAAAAATTCTTGTAAACTCAATGCTCCATCTCTGGTAATATCTGCTAATTGCCAAATGCGACTAAGTTCTCCTAAAGGAAGTCCAGACTTTTCAAAAAATGTCCTGGCTATGGAACCATGTAGAAGTCCTTCAGGATCAAGTTGTAATTGTGAAAATTGAGTAGTATAATATTCACGTTGTTCATCACTAATTATCCATACTTCTTCAGGTGGAAATCCTGAGCCATCACCATCTCCTTCACCTTCATCACTGCTATGACGTTCTGAACTTTCTTCTTCAGTTCCTAATAATTGCCTTTGTTCTTCAGATACTAACAATCCTTGCCAACCTCCAGATACAGAATCTAATATTGTTTCACCACCTATATCATTATTTCTCTCCTGTATTATACTATTTGTTGGTGTTGGAGAATCTGTACTACCACCAGTTTCTCTTGGAGACTCTGCTTCACTTTCACTTTCTGTAGTACTTTCTGGAGCATGGCGGTGACTCTTCATTGCCCTATTTGAATCTGAACTTCTTCTACCATCTTCTTCTCCGGATGCTGGCCAAGTAAATCTTGGTAATGTAATAACATCCAAAGGCATAGTAATTATATCTTTACGGATACTAAGTCCTGCTTGATGAGCTGCTACAAGTTTTAATAGCACAAAGAATTGTTTTTTTCCAAGATGCGTACCAATGTGTGCTGCTTCAGTTCCAAAACAGATATCCAATATCTATAAATTAAAATATATTTTGTATTATATATTTGTGCATAATCGATTAATTTTATTTAAATTTGTTTTTAAATATATATTTATATTTGATATACACAATTTAAAATATGTTATATTAAATATTCCCCAAAAAATAACAACTTAGATTAATATATAATTGTATTACACATATTTATTTTAAAGATTACTAAGAAAATTCGAATGTTTATATTATATTTTTTTATGTTATATTCTTTATATTATTATTTATCAAATTATATTTATAAAATATATAAAACTATTAAATATTTAAAATATTTAAAATATTTAAAATTTAATTGTTATTAAATTCTTTTGAATTTTAAATTTTCATTTATAAACATTCTCTATCATAAATTTTTTTTAAATATTTATAACAATAACATATTAATATTGACATATCAAAAGCAATGGTTGAAAAAAATTATATTTGATTTATTTTCAATTTAAAATTATGAAGACATACTTAACTACTTTGTTTATAATTTAATTACAATGCTTATAATCTTCTCATAATAGTTCTTTAATCCTAACCTTCATGAGCTTTCATAATTTGCCGATATTACATTATATTAAACAAATTAAACGCCCACTTCATTATGATTAAAAAGATTCTATGATTTTAATATTATAATTGTACATATGACAAAAAACTAACAGCTGACAGACTATATGCAATGAATAAATGTAATTTACCTTCATCGTGACAACTCCTGGTAAATTTGCCGAGCGTAATAGTTCGGCAACTTTGATTACCGGTACACTATCGCTGTCTGCATTTTCACAGCAATAACTAAATATGTCTTCATAATATTGATGTTCGGTCATCGTTAGGTGAAGACTAGCCATCGTGATCGACTCCCAATCCATCTTGGCGACAAATCAGAGCGGAGCAATGAACCGCTTTTACACTCGTTACGTACAAACTGGGTCCGTTCTCTTTCTGTACTCTCTTCTTCTCTTACTCTTTCTATCTTTTCTATCCCTCTTATTCGTTGTTCTTCCGTTCTTGACACGGTCTGCTTCACAGGACGGTCGTGATCAGTATGTAGTCACATTGCACGATAATGTTATGATTTTGATAAATCCCTTGGAAACGTAAGACACCATTTGTAGACTACATCCCATGCATCACAAAATTACCGCTCGACCGCCATCTTTCTATTCCTTCGGTGTTTGACATTATTATAATTCATGTGCGCACACTATCTGAACTGTACAACTGACGTTTCTACGGTATGTGCGCATTAACTTTATCGGATTATAAGTGTTCTTACTGCGCATGCGTTTTCTTCCATGATGATAACGCGGGATTTTAAATTTTTCTAAATCTTTTATTTGGTCAATCTTTTTATTTGCTTGACAGTACAATTTGCTATTATAATATTTGTCTTCTTTTTATTTTCATGTAATATATTTCACGCATAACGATAATATTACAAATGAAAAATTATTTTATTCTTATAATATTTTGATCGTTTTTCCCACTACTTTTGTTTAATCGTGTTTTAATCTTGCTAGGACAAAATAGCGTCGAATTATTCTCTTTTAATTAAATGTTGTCAAGTTTTAGACTATGATCATTGCAATGTCATTAACTATTTTTTGTTATATAATTCAGTGGTATAAAAAAGGTAAATGTAACTATCGTTTTGTTTCACATTTAAGATGCATTATCTTATACGGGTGTATGTACCAGAAAACTAAGCGTTTAAACTTTCGCTTCTTTGAAAATAAACGAAAATTGTTTGAACGTAGCAAACTGCGATGCGAAAGAAAAACCGTAGAACGCTTACGTTGTGACAACAATACGAACTGATGCGTGACTAGAGCGTATTATTATGATCGATCCTTACAGATATACTTAATTTCGAATCTAACAATTTTACATAAACTCGATGCGATTAGTTTATCTGTTAATCTAATAATAATATGAATTGCAAATGCGTAATGAAATGTCACCATGAATCATAGGCACGATAATTCCTCAAGTGTAGTTCGATGTCGCAGAAAAGCATATTACTAATGGCAGATATTATATATTTTCGGTAATCGAAGAAGACTGACATTTCTTCGTATTGCCGTAACGTCCAGTTACCGGTTTTTGTCCAGCCGTTTTAAATCGATGCAGCACTGGTGAACTTTCCCTTGGACTACCGCTAATATTATCGAAGTCCCAACTCGCGAAATGTTCCTCGAAAAGTTCTTCGAGTTTCTTCGATAGTGTTTCGATTACTTTTACTCGATCATGATCATCCTGCGATAAAACGATTGATAAAAATTTAAAGTAAATTTCTTTAATAGAAATTGAAACTTTTGAAAATCAGATAAAACTCTCAAAACTTTTATTCACCATTTCGTATCGACTCGGTAATAATCGGACGCAATCGGTTCGAGAATAAGACAGTAATAGTATAATTATTAAGGTTTTTAGCCGATCGCATCCGATTATTGCCGAATAGATCCGAAGTTCAACCGCGAGTTTCAAATCCCCTTCTTCATTTTATCGAGATCCAATCGATTTTTTGAAGAAAATTTCAGGAATTAAACAACCCAAGATACAAACCTTATGATATAATTTTGAATTATAAACAATACGACGAAAGTCTCTAACGACGTGTTCCACTTTATGGTAAACTCGATTCTTTAATTTGTATTCAACCGTTTCTAGGAACATTGGACTTTTAATGACTTTACAATAGTCCTCGATCTAAAAGGAAATATCGGCAAAATATTAATTCACCATACTTACACGTACATATATATAAACATACCAAAGTTCTTATACAAGTTTCTTATACAAAGAAACTGACCGTGTATGTAGAAGATTGATTATTGCCCCCCGAAGATGGACACTTGAAAACTTCTGCTTCATCCATTTGCCAAACCGTTTGATGTATCATTTCCAATTTGCTAAGCGCAAGCGGGCTAAGACTCTGTTTCCTCTTCGAACTGTACCATACGGACCAACCTCTGTCGCTAGTCTTCCCACCATATTTCCCGTCCAAGAATTCGATGCATCCAGCGTTCTCCCTTTTTTTCCCGTGCTTCACCGCGACGGTCGATTTCAACGTTCCCTCCATCGATTGAGAATCACCATCGATCTCGCAATTTTTCGTTGCCTTTTTCCCAGAACACTTGCGGGATCTGCTGTGCAACAAATAGTAAGATTTCTCGAAATCTTTTCTCTGACATTTACGGCCGGGTATCGGTATCACAGTGCTGCAAATCGTTGACACATTGGCAATGTTTAATTTGCTTTTCTTGGAAAATTCTTTCTTCTCCGAGAAGGATGCGCTCAAGGAGGCGCAGCGGCGCACAGTTTCGGAATAAGTGGCTTTCCCCACGACACGTTCCGTCTCCTCGGACGTTGTCTGGTCGTTGTTCAACGAGACGCACGAACTTTTCCTCGAGCATATCGTCTGTTGGAGATTTTTCACGGTCGTCGTCGTTGTCGCCACCGTCGTTATCGTACTGTTGGACACCAACGAGACGATAGGATTCGTTTGCTCGTTCTCTGTCACCGAACTGTTCGACGATTCGGAGCTATGTTGCTGGACAGCGTTGTTTTTCCGCCGTTTCTGCTTATTTGCCATGTTAGCGTTGTTCAAAGTTTTGATTAACCACGAGTCCGTTTTTACATTCATTTTACTAGAACCTGTTAACGGGTAGCTGCATAAAATATTGCGATATTTAATGCTGGAAGAACGGAAGTATTGCCTTAACGTGACACGTATCTTTTTTTTTTTTTTTTTTTTTAAATAACACTCGTCTCACTTTCTCAAAACAAATTACTATTTTTTGTTGTTGTTGTCGTTTAATTATCTTACGTTTATTATACGTCATATTCGTGATAACGTGAAAATTGAAAATTTCTCTCAAATTTCCGTCCTTCTAGTATTAAAAGCGAGATTTTAAATTTCATCTTTCATATTAAAAAATAAATAAATACAAGATTCGACTGTTTTCACTTCGACGTAAAACGTAAAACGAAATCGGGATGGAGAAGAAAAAAATAAAGAAAAAAAGAATGGAAGGAAGAAAGGAAGGAAGAAAGAAAGGGGAGGGGGTAGGGGGGAGGAGGGGGGAAAGGAAACGTCTAACAAGAAAGGCAACGTTTTTTCTTTTTTTTTTTCTTTTTTCTTTTTTTTTTTCTTTTCTCTTAAAGCGCTTCGACCGATAATAATTATTACCATTTTTATTACCAGATAACTGTGAAACTTCGTTGATACTTGTGTTGGGTGAGAAATGATTCGTGGAGCCTGAGTCATCCTCGGACGCCTCGTAACTCGATACACCGTCGTTGTTCTCCTTCAAATTTTTCGAGATGCTCTCCTCCAACTTCTCCTCTCCTTGCACCGCGCCTGTTTGCCCCACTGCCATCCCCTCCTCCATCATCGCGTCATCGTCCTTCTTAACCACTATCGCACCACTATCGTCGCACCCGTACTTTTCACCACCGATCACGTCCACCGACCTCTCCATTTCCGGCTTCTTGAAATCCGCGTCCTCCTTCACGTTCAAAGCCTCCAACAGGATCTCGGCCGAGGCGCAGGCGGCCTTCCATGTCACGTCCTCGGACACGGTGTAATTGGAAACGTCGGATCGTTTCAAGATCCTCGGCGAATTCTCGAGGGAGAATGTAGGCGGTGGTACAATAGGGGTCGCGGGGAACGGTAATTTCATCGTGCCCGACCCGTTGTTGTTCACGCCGGCCGTCGAAGCGGGGATGCTCGCTGGCCTCGAGACGGGAGTGGAGGACGCGGGGACGCAGAACTTCTCCTTGCCCGCTCCGTAATGGCTCCTCGCGTTGTGACTCGACCCGTTCGCCACGTTCCTCGAATTCGTCGAATTCTCCAAACGTCTGTTCGACCTTCTCTGATGCCTCTTCTTGGGCACGTTGTAACTGCCCGGCTTCATGTACACCCTCACGTCCTCCGAGCTGTCGTACTCCTCCGGCACCTGTTGCACCTGGACGCGATTGTTGATCAAATTGTACGCGTTCCAGGGGGCGCTTTGCACGCTCTGTATGTTCTGCAACGTTTGAAATTGGCGGTTCGCGTCTATCTGCAATTGCCTGATGCAATTGGTCAGATCCATAGTGTTCTTCGACATGTCTTGGCGGGCTGCCGATCCCCTCCCCGCAACCATCGTATCCGCGGCGTTCACGTCGGTCAGATTCATGAACGGTATCTGCCTTGGATTGTCCGGATTCCTCATGCTCGCGAACCAAGCGGACAAATTTGCGGTCATCTCCTCGGACGATTTTTCGGGTATGCTCGGCTCGATCTGGCTGAGCAACGTCATCTTGTCCTTGGGGACCGCGGCCAATTCCAATTGGCTGGTCGACGATTTACCCACGTATACGAGATCCACGTTCGTCTTGTTCCTGTTGCTGTGACCCTGGGACGAGTCGAAGCTCGTCTTCGAGTTTTTGTAATCGAGGGATGCGTAGGGTGGCGGGCAAACAGCGTAACTTGGATAGAACGCGTCGTGCTCGCCCGTTGCGGGGAAATACATTGACTCGAGGCTGATCGATGGATTGAGGAATGAGGATTCCACCCTCGACAAGCATTTCTGCCCGTAACCGGTGTCGCAATTCTCCACGTCCAATTGGCGCTGCAGTCTGAATATGCCGTCCACGTTCTCAGTCACGTGGGAGGGGGAGGAGGAGGAGACCTTTGCCTCGGGGAAATCTTGCTTCTTCTCCTTGTTGTGGTACAACCATTGCTGCCTGGACGAGTCTTGATTGCTCTCCGTCAGTATCTTGCTTCTCAGGTGAAAGAATTCGGCGTTCAACGATTGAGTAGGCGTCTCGTTCTTCCCTGACGACGAGCTACCCCTGGAACGGTATCTACTGTTCGCCTGTCCCCCGGATTTAGCGTGCCCTGAACAGAAGATATCGGGATGCACGGTTGTCGTTAGATTCCTTAGCTCGGTAATTGTCCACTTACTTCGCAATTTCGACTCTTTCTGGGAGGAGGAGGAGGAGGACTGTTGTTGCTGTTGTTGTTGCTGTTGCTGCTGTTGCTGCTGCTGCTGTTGCTGCTGCTGTTTCTGTTCAGCCTGGCCGTACAAGGTGAAGTTACGCAGGCTACCGCAGGCGGACAATTGGCCGACCGAGTTGCCGCCGCAACACGCCACCTCTTGGCCACTATCCTTTTTATTATCCGCCGCTACCTTCTGTTTCGACGGGGCGGTAGCGATGATAGACGTGGACGAGGATGGATCGAACAAGTCGCGATTCGTGTAAACTGAAACGTCACCTGGAAAAGAGGTTCCGAATGATTCTGATTTCGTTTGCTCGTTGCTGGTGGTGAAATTATTCGTCGTTGGGTCGACGTTCCCCTCCTCGAGCTTGAGGAACGTTTGGACGATCTGATTCAACAGCTCGTGGGTGCTCTCCTCCCAAAGGCGGAAACACCTGACCAACTCGCAATCGAATTTCTCGCTCAGGCTCGGGTAATGTTGCTTGTTCAAGTAATTGTCGAGTATCAGCCAACCGTTGCTTATGCGCAGCAAAGCGTTGATCAGATCGGCTACGAACACCCGATCGCCGGCAAATATCGGGAAACAGGTGGACGATTTGGTGACGGCCGTTTTCGTAGCCGTGGACAAGTTTCTCAACCAGCCGCATCTCGGATTCGTCTTCGAGCTGTTGTTCAACACTAATTCCGCCTCCGTGCAGCCCCAATACACCACTTTTCTCAACAACTCTTGATACTGGGCCCTGTCCACGCAAGGGCCGTCCGTTTGGACGGCTATCGACGTCCCTGTCCCGTAATCGGCGCAAAACTCCGTGAACCAAGCGTTCTTGTTCGACGCTGTGTCCCCGGCCCCGCTGAACAAAGGTGTCGAATTCGACTTGTCCGTCTTCCCCTCCTCCTTGTTTATATCGTTCGAGGATATGTTGCAGAGAGCGGACACCATTTTCTCGGCCTCGATCGTGAAATCGAAACTCGCCGACGACTCGTCCGAGTAATGCTCCTCCTGTTGTTGTTGGGCCTTGGCCGACACGCTCGCGGACACGTTCGTTTTCTCCAGAACCACGTTATTCCCCCCGGTCGTTGTCTCCCGTTGATTCCCCTCATCGTCGGTGCTCGTGGTCGTCCCTGTCGCAGCCGCCTTTATGTTGAACAAAACGTCCGTTGAGGAGGAGGGGGTGATCTGCGGTTGGGACGGCCATTCGTTGTAATTCTCGACGCTGGTCGCGCTGGCGACTATCTGCGAATTGTTACCGGCGGTCGGTAACTTGCTCTTGCTCCCCTTCAGTGAGGAGGAGGAGATCTCGAGCGTCGCCCCGGATCCGGCCACGGGTTTCTCCCCCCCCCTCGCCTGTAGCCCGCCGAACACGAGGCCGGTGGAGGGAGGGCTAGGAAAGATTTGCCCCGTGTGAACACCGCCACCCGTTTGAACGGTTGGATTCACCTGGCTGTTGGTGAAATTGGCCGCGTACGGGCTCAGATTCGGGAATTGGAACGGGGAATTGGTCGCATTGATCCCTTGCAGGTTGCACGTGTTCGTCGCTGATACGTTGTAGTACGAGGCGTGGGTGGTTGGCTGCTCCTGCTGCTGCGGTTGAGGTTGCTGCTGTTGTTGCTGCTGCTGTTGCTGCTGCTGCTGCTGCTGTTGCTGGATATTTTGCCGATCTTGGATCAAGCAGAAGGTTTGCACGTCGGGCGGTTTGAAGTAGGGTTGGGGTATCAACGTGACTCCGGAATTGTTGTATTGGTCGCCGGAGAACGAGCCGTGAGTGTACGTGGAGGAAGCGATTAAAAAGGAGGCGGTCGGGGCCGGTGGTGGGGCGACGTTGCTCGACGTTTGATCGTACAGGACCAATGGTTTCGGGTTGTAGGATAATTGTTGCTGTATGTGATGCGGTTGCTGTTGTTGTTGCTGCTGCTGTTGCTGCTGTTGCTGCTGCTGCTGCTGTTGTTGGCAATATTGTTGGTTTCGTACGAGTTTATTCTTAGGTGGCCATCTGCTGCTTTTCCCTATATTCACATGGGATGGGTTTGTACGAGAAAATCTTAGAAAACTGAAACCATCGTTCGAATATATTTAAATATATTACATTTAAACTGTTCGAAAGTAAAAAGAAAAAAAAAAAAGAAAAAAAACGATTCTCCTTCCGAATCATTTTTATTGTATCGTTTCTCCTCTCTCTCTCTCTCTCTCTCTCTCTCTCTCT